AGAGAGAGAGAGAGAGAGAGAGAGAGAGAGAGAGAGAGAGAGAGAGAGAGAGAATGAAGAGGATAAGAGGGGCCCTTCCTGAATAGGAGCAAATTGTTAGGGGTTGAAACCCTGGAAGATCTGTCCCTGGCTCAGGTTGTGGCTGGCAGGATGGGAAGGTAATTGTTGGGGATCAAGTTTGCATACTCAGAAGTAAATCCTGAACCTCTAGGTATGATCTGGTTTGTTCCCTGGCTAGGGGTCTATGCAGATGCTCCTCTGTGTCTGATCAGGGGGCAGAATTTCTAATGGGGGTGTCTCCTATGGACACAGGCAGGGAGCCACTGATTCCTATTGGCCCAAATGCTGGGCACTCTCAACAAAGCTCCACACAGGAGATCACCAAGGAGGTGTTTGGTGTGTCCAAATACTCCATCTCCTTGGGCAAGGGGCAGGTGCACCATGTCACCAACCAAGGCCAGTACTGGTGTAAGGTGATAGCAGGCACAGAGAGGTCTCCACAGACAGGAACCCAAAATGACCAGAGTGGTCCCAGGACCCAGACCCAAATATGGGTACTCCCCTGGAAACTATGTTCAAGTTTTCCCACTGGAGTGACCCACAGTCGCACTCCCACAGGAATCTGGCCACTTGGTTAGGTGTTCACTCGCTTGTAGGACCATAAGAGAAGGCACTTTTGTGTGGTTTCACTCTACACTAGGCCGTGGGTATCTTTGCTTGCTGCCACTGTTCTTACAGTTTTAGCTCCCACCCTGGGTGTCCTGTGCAGCAGTCAGCCCCACTGCTTCCCAGGCCTCCTCCAACACTTACAAACCATCACTCTTATTGGGGGGAGGGTGTTTACATACACGAAAAAGAAGTCACACAAAAAGAGGGCCCACCTGGTCTATATGTTTGTCTGCAATGGGTCATCTCACAGAGCACGTCACTGGAGCCCCGCCAGGTCAGGAGCTGTGCCCTCCCATGTCTTCATACTTTCCCATAACAGAGGCCATTTTCCCTGGCAGTTCAGTCTTTTGGTGCCAGTGGAATGTGACATGATTCAGTTGTATTTCCATTTCAGCCACACTTCAGGGAACATCTTATGTGTGCTCGACAGACTGTGTGAGCTGGCTGGGGCTGCCATCACACAGCAGCACACACTAGAGGGCTTTGTCAACAAAAATACATGTTCTCACAATTCTGGAGGCTAGAAATTTGATATCAAGGTGTTGGCTGGGGTGGTTTCTCCTGAGGTCTCTCTCCTTGGCTTGCAGATGGCCACATTCTTTGTCTGTATTCACATGCCCTTCTCTTGCTTTTCTTTGTCCTTACCACCTCTTCTTACAAGGGCCCGTGTGATGTCAAATTAGAGACAACACTATGAATTTACTCAAGCTTAATTGCCTTTCTAAAGACCCGTGTCCTACCACAGTCATCTTCTTATGCACTGGGTATTACAACATCAATTGTGAACCTTAGAAAGCGAATACAATTCAGCACAGAACATATACTAATCTCCTCCTGAAACAGGCTCTGGGGAAAGGGATTCCTGGGTGAAAAGATATGCACATGTAACATGTTGATAGCTAAAGCCAGATGACTTTCCCAAGTGCTGTAGCAGGTACATGGTCACCAGCAGTCTCCGAATGGAGCTGCTTCCCTGCATCCAGCCTTTCCTGGGTGTTAACATTTAAAAAATTTTTTTGCCCATCTGGAAGCCACTTGGCAAATTAAATGACCTTTTTTTTTTTCATTTTCAACCTTGCAACTGATCTGTTTCAGTAACATTCAACCATTTACCACCCACTTAAATTTTCTTTTTCCTGAACCATCTGCTCAGAATCTTGGCACTGCAATGGGCTTTCTCCTGCCCTAGAAGTTGCCAGCATTTCCTTTGTGCTGCATCGCGGATCACTGTGGCTCCCTCTGATGTAAACGAAAGGAAGACAATTGTGTTGTTTAAGTTGCAAGGATTCTCTTCAGGTGTCTTTCTCTGCACACTGTCTCCAAAATGGGGAGGAAAATGAGGTTCCCACCACCCCTTCCTTTCCATGCCAGCAGCAGACCGAGCCTCAGAGAGCTCAGCAGGAAAATGCAGCCACAGCTGCAGACAGTTCTCAGTTCTGACCTGTGTGTCCACTGACAACCACATGCCTGTGTTTCCTGTGGGTACGATGGGAGTGTTTTATGAGAACTCACTGTGATGATGGTCTTTATACAGGCCATTAATAAAGGCAGTTAGTTGCTCCACAGCTAACGAACTACCTTGAAGATACTAATTTCTTAGTTATTTTCTGTCCCCCATGTCAAAATTTACTTTGAAAGCCTATAATCTTTCTCACGAAGGACACTCATGTCTTCCACATGAGCAGATCCCTAAAGGGTTGGGACATCCTGGTCTGAGCTCCAGACCCCAGTTCTCTGGTGATTCATGGTGATGACACTGAAAGTATGTCCCTCCTTGTTCCTTCCAGGATAAAAATGGTCATACTCTGAACCTAGAAGAGATGCGCATGATGCAGACCCTCCAGCCAGGCATGAGGGCAAAGCTGGTGGCGTCCCTGGGGCCAGCTCTCCAGGGCAGAACCACCCCCCACTTCTCCACCTTCTGTTACTTATAATGGGACTTTACCACCATCCCACAGTTCCTGGACCAGCTCTTTAGAAAATGAGTATCCGTCCCCTCCAAGGCAGTGGTGACTCTGCCTGTCCTACGAGCTGTGTCTTGGGAATGCCGCTGCAGCACTTGGAGCCTCAGTTGGCTCCTCTGAAAGGTGGAGTGGTAAGAGGATGAACCTCATAGAGTCTTTATAGGGACTAGATGGCATAAGACATGACAAACAGATGCCTAGTGCCTGGCTCTGCTGGACATGCTTTGGTTGTTCATATTTATTATTTTTCTTTCCTGTTTGGCTGGAAAAGCTTTCCGCCTCATGCCCCCATGGCCAGCATCTCTATAAGTTTGCAAAAGCCCATAGAAAGCATACCTGATTTTTCACTTTTATTTGAGTGAAATCTGTCTTCTAACTTGTCTTTTTCCAAGAACAGGGTCCATGGGCACCAGAGGAGGGGATCCCAGGTCCACTCAGATATCTGGGAATGTTCTGGTTGGGGCTTATTTATTCAACACATTTATAAGCCCTTACTATGTAAAGTCACTTTCTAGACACTTGGCATAATTCAGTGACCAAAGCAGACAACAGTCATTGGGTCTCAATTCTAGTCATGGAGTGAGATGCTCACAGTAGACACCATAAGCAGGTCATGTCCACAGAATGTTAGATGTGATAGCTTCATGGCCTCCTTAAGGTGTAGATGCATTCTCCCATATTCTAACCAGAATGACAGACCCAGCACCAAACTAGAAAGTATGTGGACTTTTGATCCAGAAAGAGAGCTCCCTGTACCCCAGAGTGTGGGGGAATATATGGACTGTGGCTGGGAAGGACTGAGAAAACCATGAATCTCAGACAATTTGTAATTCCCACGAGCGTGATGAGGTCTGGGGGCTTTCCCTGCAAGTGAAAAGGAGTCAAACAGAGTTGTGGATTGGGTCACAGGCTCCCTGAAAAACAGGGGGAGTCTGAGGCTCAGAGCCAGCTCCCGAGAGACCCATCCCCAGCACCGTGGCATCCTAGCTCTGCCTGTCTTCCTGCCTTCCACCTCTGCCCCTCCCGGCCCAGACACCAGGGGCTCAAGCCTGAAGTTATTATGAGCAACCTGCCCACAAATCTGCCTGGGGCTTTGGTACTTAGTTCACAGGTGCACACAGGTGGCTGTCCTGTCCCTTCAGAAAACCCATGTGAGTGTAACGGTGAGACTCACAAGGGTCTGCACTTGTCCTGTCTGATGGCCAGGTCTGCCACTGTCAGGACAGCCACACAGGGCTTGGGTGGTGGGGCTGTCCTCTAGACAGGCAGTGGAAGGCCCAGGGGCCCAGAACATACAAGGGAGCCCTGAGAGGGCAGCATGGAAGGAAAGGCCAGCCTCTGACTCTGCTGCACACTCTCTCACTTCCAGCACCATCTGTCACACTGTGGTCACTATGCCAGAGCACTTCTGCACATGTTTTCATCAGCCCCTGCTTTCCATCATTGAAAGTCACTATGCCAGAGCACTTCTGCACATGTTTTCATCAGCCCCTGCTTTCCATCGTTGAAAGTTAAGATCAACCATGGGTAGGTCAGCTGGCTTGGACTGGACATGGGTCCCCATGTGCATGTTCTCCTTACCAACCTGAAGTATCCAGAGCTCTTTGAGGCAGAAACAGATGGTGAGGCGACTGCAGTCTGGAAGAATTACCAGGGGTGGTACTTTGGAGCTAGAACTCCCTTTAATGCAGTAAGATCTTTTCTGGGTTTGGAAAGGCCAGTGGAAAGTGACTGATGCTGGTGAACCTTTTTGTTCCTGCTCCTGCTTCATGTCCAGAGCCACAGGCACTTCTCAGGCAGGCTGTAGAGCCAGTGCCAGTGCCACTGGTAGAGCTGAGGCCTGCCCTCCGTTCAGAGGCATCTGTTTAACTGGGTCCCCCATCATCTTCGGTGCCATCACCAAGGCTAGGAGAAGAGCCACCACATGTGACAGGACAGGAGCTAGAGGAACCTTCAAAACCCTCCTGCCCCTGTCCTGTGGTTAAAATGAACCAGCCCAGTGAGGACCCATGTGACATCATGGCATTCCCTCCCAAGCTGATGGCAGAGCAGCTGACTCTGATGGATGTGGTGAGGAGCTCAGCTCTGTAGGGGGTGCCTAGACAGGCCGTCTTTCTTGTACCTGGTGTCCCAGACAAGCCATTCCTGACCAGAGTCCAGTGATCTGGGTCCAATACCAGCTCCACATCTTACAAATGATGTGACCTGGATGAGTTTCTTAATTCCCAAGCCTTCCCTGTCCTCATGTGCACAGTCGAGTTGAGACATTAACAGTACCAGTTGCACAGAAGGACTGAAGCTAAAATGAGATGGGACAGAGAGAAAGCAGCATGGGGGCCTGGCTTATCTGGTGATGGGGTACTCATTGAGGGGCAGGTGGGTTCAGGAGTTATCCACCCATCCTCCCATGGGTCCTCAAAAACGTCAGCATTTATTAGGACCTGATATGTACTAGACTCTCTAGCAGACACCAAAGAGAACCCGTAGTTATAGCTGCCACGGGCAGTGCGCATCTGAGTAAGGAAACAGAACAAAGGGCTGGTCAGGATGCGCACAGGATGCAGCCTCAAGATGAGCACACCTGAGCCATTTTCTGGTCCTTGGAGTTAGTGAGAATGGCCTGGGTAACACTGCCACCCATCCCTTGCCTGCCAGTACTGGCTTTTGGTGCCCTTAGTGGGCAGATAGCCGGATCCAAACTCTTTCACAAGTCTAAAGCTTCTTGTGCTCTAGCTAGCCCACTGTCACCTTCCTGAGACTGTGGGTAACTGTGGACAAAGAGCTGGGGGTGGGTCATGCCTGTGCAATACACTCTTCCTTTCCAGGAGCGGTTTAGCGAGGTGGTGCCCTATGACTGCCTGGGCTCCATCTGGTCCCAATGCAACGAGAAGGGAAAGGAGCACCTGGCACCCACCACTCATGTCACCATCACCCAATTTAATAATGTGGCCAATTGCATCATCATCACCTGTCTCATGGGCCACAGCATGAAGGCCCAGGACAGAGCCAGGGTGGTGGAGCACTGGATCAAGGTGGCCAGGGTAAGCTGTGGGAAGACCCAGAGGATTCCCACTCTGCAGACTTGGGAACTGCCTTTTATTACAACCACCATCAGGGTAGTCATCTGTGGTTAAGTAACTGCACAATGCCTTGTCCTTTCCTGTCAGTGCACACTGGCCTTCACCCCCATGTCCCAGTGGCAGAGGCTCACTCCCTATCTGGGCTCTTGGGTTGAGCTAACATCCTCCCTTTGTGAGTTCTGCTCGTTGGGTTCCAGCTGTGCCCTCCCGTTGCTGCCTGGGCCTCCGCCTCATCCAGGGGGTAGATGTCAGCTGAGGGGCTGAAGCTGGAGCAGGTGGCCTCCAACTCTCTGTCTCATGGTTCATTCTCTTTCCTCCCCAGGAATGCTTGGTCCTCAGGAACTTCTCAGTCCATGCCATGCTCTCTGCTCTGCAGAGCACCTCGATCCATCAAATGAAAAGGACATGGAGGGAAGTTTCCAGGTGGGTGGGCCTCTTTCTGTATGAGCAACAGGGTGGACCAGGGACCTCCCATAGGTTTGGGCATTGCTTCCTTAATGAGCCTGGCAGGGACTAGGAGGTCAGAGGCACTGAGGCAAGAACTGGCTCATGAGAAGGGTCTCTAAGACTCTCTGGAACCTTAGCCCAGGATTTCTTACCCAGAGCTAAGGTTTTGTTTTGTTCTTTTATTAATGGTCAGGCACAGGTTTTTACCAAATTACCAATTTCAAGTGTTTGCTACACACAATATGACTTTGTCATACTCACATCTAAACTGTAAAACAGAGCTTCTCAGTTGAAATGGTGACAAGGCCCAGGTGACCAAAATGAGATCCCCTCTCCCAGTGCCCCAGAGACTGTAAGACTCAGAGGAAGCCAGCTGGCAACTCTCCTCAAGGTAGTTTGGATTCTTTGGATTATTCTCAAAACAAGCAAACAAACAAAAAAGCCAAACTTGAACTTACATGTCTCCCATTATTCCCAAATTTATCTTTCTTCCTTTCCCCTCTTCACAGAAAAAGCTCTGGTAATTTTGAAAAACTATGTAGAAAAGAAAAGGTACTAAGAAAAAAGGTAAAGTAGAGGCTGAGAGATGGGAGCAGGTGTTTGCAGACAGAGGTACAGGAGAGGTTTTTTTTGTTTGTTTGTTTCTGAGTGTTTTATGTTCTCACTGAAAGTTGACAGGAAAATTTCAGTCCCGTCTTGTGTGGACTAGCAGGAGAAGGATGTGTCTGCCTGTGGGCAGGTGAAGAGTGTGGGCAAGAGCCCTGGTGATGGGACGCGGTGATGGGACGCAGTGATGGCAGCCGGGCTGTGCAGGAGGGCAGAGGAGCTGCAGAAGCAGCCGATCTCCACCTCCCACACTGCTCCATCCTGTTGGCAGGTGGCATGTGGCTTTCTCCAGGCCATTGGTGGGTGCGCTAGGCAGGGCTTCCTTCGGCAAACTAGCCCAGCAGTTTGTAGGAAGCCAGGCTGCTGCTGCTGTCTGCACCTCCATGGGGTGAGGGCACCTGCCTACACCAGAGAAGTGGAGAGAAACCCCGCAGGCCGGATCGTCAAATGGGCTGCACGGCTTTGGGGCCCAATGTGTACTTGAAGCAGATGCATGTGATTAGTGCTAGTCCCCACTGTGCCCCGTGCAGACAGTGCTAATCAATCACAGCCCCAGGATTCTCACCCTTGTGCCCAGTTAGCAGTGACATGTGCTCCAGATGACTCATGAGAAGTATCTAAGGGACTCATGCATTCCTAGAAGATCTTTCCTGACCAGATCATAGAACCTTTCACATAAAAGAGGAAGGAACTGCTGCCAGCCCGTAGTCTGGGGACCCCTGCCCTGCTGGTCAGAGGTGGCATCTCAGGAGACCACGTCCTGAGTGGAGGGAGAAAAAATTCTGCACAGGAACTCTCTTGGTGCATTACTGGGGAGGTGAAGCTTTTGATGTGGCCTGAAACCCAGTGTTGGGTACACAGACATCAGTGGTGATGGGGTGGGCAGGAGCCCCTAAACCAGGCTTCTTGGAACACCCTGTCCCTCTCTCACCAAGGCTGGGCCTGGCTGGGGACCTGGATGCTCACAGAGAGCCCAGAGGATGAGCCCCTCACCAGTGGTGATGCTGGTGGGTGGGGTGAAGGCAGCTGGGTCACGGCCTCCACTTGCTGGGGAGGAGCCGGCCTCTCCTGTGAGCCCTGGGCAAGTCACCCCCCACCCAACTTGGGCTGTTTTCTCATCTGGAAACTGTAGGGATGATGAGCCTGTTGTGCAGGCCTCACAGAGTGGCGATGAGGTTAATGAGGTTCACGGAGTGTTCAGGGTGCTGAGAACAATGATGAGGACAGTAATAGGAGTTCTCAGGGGATCCTCTCCAGATGCGGAAACAAGGAGGGGAGGCCAGGGTGCACGCCCAAGACCACGCTGGAGAGTGTCACGGCTGGCTTCGAATCGAGAACCAGAGCCGCTGGAGGTGGTGGCACTACACCAGCTGATGGATCAGATTTCCAGAGTTCAGGGTCAGGGGCAGGGGTGTAACTGGGTGAGGGGAAGACAGTCTCATTCACTATCTTACTGTTTTCTGTTGCTTACAACAGAATATCTAAAATTGGGTCATTTATAAAGAGACAGAACTTTTTTTTTTACCATTTAGAAGGCTGGGAAGTCTAAGCAGAGGGGGTACATCTAGTGAGGGTCTTATTCCGGGGAGACTCTGCAGAGTCCTGAGGTGGCACAGCATATCAGATGGCAAGAGGGCAACAGCATATTTACATGCTCTTTATGAAGCCACCAGTCCAATTCAATGATAACCCATGAACAAATCCATTCATTCATGAGGGCTGAACAATCATAATCCAGTCACCTCTTACAGGGCCCCACCTTTCAGTGTTGTGAAATCTCCCACCCTCTTAATACAGTTACAGTGGGGGTCATATTTCAACATGAACTTTGGAGGGGACATGGATTTGGACATAGCACTAATCTTGTCCCTGACCCTGTCAGGTGGGGACCATCAAATTGGCCACCCTGGAGATGAACCATCAGAGAGTCCAGATGAGGCAGCGGCAGCAGAAAAAAGTGAGTGTGTCTGTGACTGGGAGGGGCTCTAGGGAGTAGATGACACGGGCCCGCCCTTCCAGGTGGAGCCCTCCAAATCAAAAGAGGAGAGAGCTTCCGCCCTTCAGCCCGCCTTCCTGTTGCCACAGCGTCTGAAATGCCCTTATTAGAGAGACCAGGTCAAGGACCCGGAAGAGCTGGCCTACAGTGGATTACAGAGTGAGGTGTGGCAGGAACCACATAATCACTGTGACATTAAAATTCCACCACAGAGGTAGCCAGGGGGTACATGGTGTCTTTGGAGGCCAGCTGGGAAGAGGGGAGTGAAGTAGTGGAGGGAGGCACCTGAGGTTTCTCTGTGGCTCCAAGTGGAAAACCTTGGTTGGGGGGTCCAGAAAGATGAGGTTGATGAGATTTTTATAGAATAAGCCAAGTGTGGGCACTCAAGAGCTAGTGCTCATCACCACTACCACCCCAGTGTCACAGGGTATTGTTCCCTTCCTGGGAACATATCTCAATGAGCTGGTGATATTAGATGCTGTGATGGACGACTATGGGGATGTGAGTGAGCCTGGGGTGGGCAGGGCAGGGGCCAGGATCCTGAGGCTGGGGAGGAGAGAGGCCTTAGGACTCAGCACTCGGCAAGCCTCCTCTCACGAGACCTCACAGCTGCCCATGTGCTGGGGCTATCATGCCCATCTCACCCGTGAGTGATGGAGCCTCCATATAAGCCACCAGTCCCTGTTTCCCAAGTGGAGAAGTCACAGAGTTGGTTGCCATGGCAAGAGAGTGAAGTTGGGCCCCTCTGATGGCAGGCAGCTTGTAAGTGGCCAGCACTCCCTTTTTATCAGAGGCTTCAGTATGCTCCTCTGTCATCAGGAAGGGTTGGGAGAGAAGGTCCTTGATCCTCAGCTTCAATGTCATCCTTCTCCAGAGCTCAGAGTCTGACCTAGGTGCAAGCCCTGTTTTGCACAACACCCCTGACCCAGGTGGTCCTGGCCTTAGTGAAACATGGGAACAGGTGAGGATGGGGCTAGAAATGGGCTGGGGGGCCTTTATGATAGACTTGGACCATCTTTCTTTCAGGGAAACGTATTCAACACCCAGAAAAGGAGGAAGATGAGCAGCCGTGGCCCTCACTCGAGGGAGCGTGTGGATGTGGAAGTCAGAGATGGCCCCTCTCACCCAGGCAGGACACCTCCTGCCTGCATCCCCTGAATCTTTGATTTATTAGGAAGATTTGATAGACAGGGAGGGAGGATCCCATCCCACTGGAGGGTGTGGGAAGGGGACAGGAATCAATGACACATTTCTGGGGGACAGGCTGTTTGAACCCAACACTGAGAACAAGTTGGGGCATGAATGGGATTGAAGGAGAGGAGGATATCACTTAAGAGAAAAGCCTGCAAACCAGCTCCCTGCTCCATCCCTCCCCCACAAGGTCCCTTTAGCATCTCCCACCCAGGCCTGTCAGCATCCAGTTTTCTCTGTGGCCCCAGGAAATTAAAGTCCTGAGAGAAATACAGCTTCTCCAGGTGGCAGCCAACAATTATTTCATCAAGAAGGAGGAAGAATTTGGCAACTGGTTTAGATCTACTGAGTAGCTCAGTGACAACAAAAGGTGAGGGCCTTGCAGGAATTTGGTGATAGTCAGGGCATAGGGGACTCTTTCTGGTGGCAGCTGCAGAGATCTTGGGGCCATGGCTGCCTGGCCAGCCACAGACCCTGTTGCATGGTGACCAATGGGGCACCAGGACTCCAGCTACGGGGCAGGCACTGGGAGAGAGAGCTGAGGTGTGGCTCCTGGTAGACTCGCAGTTGCCCCTCTGTCCTGCAGCTACAAGCTCTCCTGCCAGCTGGAGCCCCCCTCCCACTAGGCCGGCGACACCCTCAAGGCGAAGAAGAGCAGGCCCAAGGAAGCCAGGCAGCCGCAACTGCGTTCCCAGCTCCACCTCTGACCAGCCCTGTGAGTGGGGCAAGCTGATCACAGCTCTAGGACTTGAAGTTGAATAGACAGGCTGGCACCACCATGAATATGATCTGTTGTATAGGAAACCACAGAGCACCCTGGAGAGACAGCCACTAGCTGAACTGTGGACAGTTTCACGAGGTGGGGAACTGCAGTGGCCCCTAGGCTGAGGGCAGCCCACATTTGCCAGTCAGAAGCTGGGGCTCGCAGTCACACACCACCAGAAATAAACGATGCCAACACCCTGAGTGAGGTCAGAAGCCCATTCTTCCCTGGTTGGGCCTACAGATGACAACACTTTTCGGGTGACTACTTGACTGTGTCTGCTGTCATCACTTCTCATCCCTTCTTTTCCAGTGCAGGTGCCCTTCCTTCTCTCCATGGCCTTTCTTCCACCCCAGCACAGCCCAGCTGCATCACCACACCCATCACCAGGGCTTCCTGCCCCCAGCGCCCCCACTGCCTGTGCACAAACACATCTCTATTTCCATCAGTCTGGACAAGGCTGACATTTTTCACAAAAACATTCAGGGGGAAAGTTAAAATCACCCCCAGGCAGATGCCCCTTCCACCCTTGGGCTGTTCCTTCCCCCAGTCACTGTCCTATCCCCTCACCTCCTCTCTACCTAGATGAGCACATTTCTGCTCAGTGAGTTGTCTTTGGCACACAGCTTTTGAAATTTTGGGAAGCTTTTTTTTTTTTCTTTGGAGAGGGGAAAGAGGAAAGAGTGTGTGACTTCAAATTCCTTTAGTTTGAAAATCCAAAGAATTCCCATTGTCTGGATGAGAGTTTCCAGCTGGGTTTCTCTGAGTCCTAAGGGCTTCGTGGGACTGGGGAGAGGAGCTGTCGTGTTGGTCACCTGGACCCCATCCCCATTTCAACTGAGCAGCTCTGGTTTGACAGTTGAGATTTCAGTTGGGCAAAGAGTTCCATTGCTGTTAATAGACACTTGATAGTGTCCAACTGGCTCTGGCCTGTGCCTGACAGTGGAGAACACTGAATCCTGGGGCAGAACTGCTGGCCTAAGGTGCCAGAAAGACCTCAGGCCTCTCCAACCAGCTCATTGCAGCCTCTGGTGTCCCTGGCACCCCAGTGACTTCCAGGCTCACTGATAAAGCAATGTTTAGTATAAAGAGGTCCCTTGTAGTCCCTGGTGCTCCTATGGGGAAGTCCTCCCTACCTCCATGTCTTCAGAAAGTGAAAGAAGGTGCCCGGCAGAGTACAGAGAATGGCAGAATGAGAAAAATGTCCTAAATGGTGGCACTCCTGAGGAGGAAATAGAATAATCTGTGACATGGAAAGCAGTCCCCGGGCCTTCCAGCTGTGGTCCCTGAGGCAGATGGTGATGAGACTGTTCGCCACACTGTTGAACTGGGTAACGGTGGCATGGACAGTTGGTGCCAGGTGCTCCTTGACCTTCTTGTTCTATTGGGACCAAGGGGAGCCCCAGTGGTCACAGGGCACCACCTTCTTGCACAGCTACTAGGGAGCAGGAGAGCACTGCAGGGGCACAGCCCATCCCAGCTCAGAATCTGCAGTATCCTACAGTCCCCGGGCAGGTGACAGTGGCCTGAGCTGGAGCTCAGGAAGCTGAGAATGTAGCTGGAGACTTGTAGGAGTCCCTGGGTTGGGTTCTTTACCCACTGAGGGCACTCAATACATGATGTCCCAGGCCTACCACTGCTGAGGAAGGGTCTGCAGCGTTGCAGCCAGTTTATTCTCACCAGCCCCACACCCAGAAGCAGTCCCAGGCATGCACATTTCTAGGTGGCATCTTCCCCATCCTAATGAGCCCTCTGGTCTATTTCCCCACTCAGATTCACATTCCCTTTGGAAGCTACAACTAGGGCCTCTACTTGGGCGTCTGCTACAGTGTCTAGTCCACATCAGGTGCTAAATAAGTGCTGAAGCCAGTGACGCCTCCTGGGAGGATGGGTGGGAGAGACGCATGGACCTGCCTGCACCTCAGTGAGCACTTTCCATCCCCAGATGGCCCAGGGCCTGACCCTGCTTCCCATATGTCCCAACTCATTTGGTCTTCACAGTCACTCCGTGCACCTGGTGCTGTCAGTGTCCTATCTATACTGTTGACATGTGAACAGAATGCCATAGTCATTATAAAACTAGTTCAGTTCACGTGGTTATTAAGATGAGTAACTGGAATTAGACCCAGACCACCAGACTCTGGTCAGGAATGGCTTGTCTGGGACACCAGGTGCAAGAAAGACACCCACCCTGCAGAGCCGAGCTGCTCACCACGTCCATCAGAATCACCTTCTCTGCCAGCAGCTTGGGAGAGAACGCCATAATGTCACATGGGTCCACACTGGGCTGCTTCATCGTATCACAAGACAGGGGCAGGAGGGCTCTGGAGATCGCTCAAGCTCCAGCTTCATCACTGGGTGTGGCCACTTCCCTGCCCCTGGTGTGGGCTCTGAAGAAGGTCATGGATGACTCTGGGTGCAGAGCAGTTGAGGTTGGCTCTAGAGCCTGTCTGGGAAGTGCCTGTTGCTCTGGGCATGAAGCAGGTGCAGGAAAAAAAAAAAGTTTCACCAGCATCAGTCACTTTCCACTGGTCTTCCCAAACACAGAAAATAATCTCCCTGCATTAAAGGAAGTTCTAGCCCCAAACACTACCCCTTAAGTCTTCTAGACTGCAGTTCCCCTCACCATCTCTGTCTGCCACAGAGAGCTTTGGACCTTCCAAGCTGGCAAGACGAACATGCAACTGCAGACCCGTGTCTGATCGAGGCCAGTTGACCTGCACATGGGCGATCTTAACTTTTAATGATGGAAAGTGAGAGCATGCCCAGGGTCCTAAGGCAGGAACCCAGGGCTGCCCCCTCCACCCAGAAGCAGGCAAGCAACAAGGCAGACCTGGGATCCTAAGGCAGGAGATGAGGGCAGCATTCTCCACCCAGAAGCAGGCAAGGAGCACACCAAAAACAACATTTCCACATGGGTGGCCCACCACAGCCACTTCCCCAGCCATGGCTGCTGCAAAAGCTGCTCAATACCAAAGCAGTAGCCACAGTCACCATGCAGGCAGCCTGACAGACACTCGATGGCATTGACACAAGAATAGTCACCAGTAGAGACCTGAAAAAGAAAAGGATGTCTGTCTCCTCAAAGTGCACTCCAGAGTAATAGAAGATGCAACTGCTCTAGCAGTTGATGACCAGATATCAAATTATATCTGGTCATTTTGTATTTCTGATATATCAAATTTTGATATATCAGAAATACAAAAAATCCAAGAAAATATGACACCACCGAAATAATACAGTAATTCTCAAATACCAGACCCTATAGAGTAGGAAATTCCTGAAATTACTGAAAAGAAATTCCAAGCAACAATCTTAAGGAAACTCACTAAAATATGAGAAGACTCAGTTAGACAACATAATGAAATGAGAAAAACAAAAATTCAAGATATGCAGGAAATTTACAAAGAGACTAGTACTTTCAAAAAGAATGTAGCAGAACTCATGGAACTGAAAGATTCACTCAATGAAATAAAAGTCACAACTGACAGCTTAAGCAGCAGACTAGACCAAGCAGAAGAAAGAATTTCTGATCTTGGAGATAGTCTTTTTGAAATAACCCAGGTGGATAAAAAAAAAGGAAAAAAGAATTTCAAAAAATGAAGAAAACCTAAGAGAGAGAGCAGAAAACCCTAAGTGCACAAACATTCAAATCATGGGTGTTTCAAGAAGGGAGGAGAAAGAAAAAGGCATGGAAAACCTATTCAATGAAATAATAATGGAAAACTTCCAAGGTATATAGAAAGACACAGACATTCAGATCCAGGCAGCTCAAAGATCCTCAAACAGATTCAAGTGAAAAAGATCCTCTCCAAAACACATTACAGTCAAACTGGCAAGCCTCAAAGACAAAGAGAGGATCTTAAGAGATGCAAGGGAATAGTATCAGGAGCCCCTATCAGACTAACAGCAGACTTCTCAACAGAAACTCTACAGGCCAGAAGAAAGTGGGATGATATACTCAAAATACTAAGACTCCTTTTTTCTTGTAGGAAAACCCATACCTCAGCACCCCAGTGGGAATTATAAGTTGCATGGGACATATGGTTCAGTCTCTCCCTAGCCACAGTCCACATATTCCCCACCCCACACCCCACTTTGGAGTACAAAAAGCTCTCTTTCTGAAACAAAACTCCACTATTTTTTAGTTGGAGCTAGGGTCTATTATCCTAGTCAGAATATGGGAGAATGCATGTACACACTGAGATCAGGAGGGCTTCACATCTGACATGCTGTGGACATGACCTCCTTATGATGTCTACAGTGAGTATCTGACTCCCTGACTAAAACTGACACCCAATGACTGTTGTCTCCTTTTGTCACTAAATTACGCCAAGTGTCTAGAAAAGTTACTATGCAAAGTAAGTTCATTATAGACATGTGCTGAATGAGTAAACCATGACCAACACCCACAACCAGCACCTTCCTACACATCTGAGTGGTCCTGGACCTCTTCCAGTGCCTAGCAACCCATTTTTATTCTATATCAAAGAAAAAGACAAGAAAAAAAAAAAATCTCAAACCTCCTTTACAAATGGGAAACTGGAACTGCATTCTATGTGCTTCCCCAAACACAGAAAGGCCTCAGCCCATTGAGGCATGAGGCAGAAAGCTACTTTAGTGAGGGGGAGAGAACTAAAATAAATATGAACTACAGCATGTCCGGCACATCCTATAGACAAATCCAGGCATTAGGTCCTCACTTGTTATGTCTTATACCATTTAGTCCCTCCAAAACCCTGACGATCTTCTTTTTCCACTTTTCAGATGAACAAACGGAGGCTTAGAGAACTGCAGTGACATTACTCAGCTAGTAAGTGGCACTCACCACCATGCCTTGGAGGAGTCAGACACTCACCTACTGAAGAACTGGTCCAGGAACTGTGCAGCAGTGGTGAAGTCCTGGTAGGAGCACCGGCGGTGGTACAGTAACTAATGGTTCTAGCCTGGAA